AGGGACACTAACCGGTTCTGTGGGTGTGGCCAAATTTGTGGGTGTGGCTTGACGGTCATGTGACTGGCTGGGCATGGCTTGTATGTAAATATTATAAATATTTATATAAATATTATAAATATAAATAAATATAAATATTTTTAATGTTTTGTTTGTTTTTTAAAAAACAATAAAATTGTTTTCAAAATATATATATATTTATATAAATATTGATTTTTTTTAAATAAAAAAAGAGCAATTTTTACCCAAAATCAGGCAAAGCAGGCAGGCAGATTGAGTTGGTCATAGAATCACAGATTCATTCAGAAATCTATCTGTCTGCCATCGGCTAGCGCAATCTGTCACATAAAATTTGCTTGCAAGCAAACTCATAAAATTAACTCACAACACACCACGTATTTAAATAATGATTTTTTTTATTAAAAAGAGCAACTTTTACCCAAAATCTGGCAAAGCAGGTAGGCAGATTGAGTTGCTCACAGAATCATTCAGTGATCTATCTATCTGCCATCGGCTAGCTCAGTCTCTCAAATTTGCTTACTGTGAGTCTGCACTGAATAATAGAACCTTCAGTCATAAGGGAGGTTTGGCTGTGTTTAAAAGTAGAGCCGAAGATCTAAAGACTAGCTAAAAAGCAAGAAATACAACCATTTCCTGCTTCCTAGTTAATTTAAATCTCCTGGCACAGCAGAACAGATGATGGTCGGAAAAAGGAAAAATAGCAATTTAGCAGGCAAGTTTGCCGGGTAAGGAGTGAGTGGGCGGGGAGGGTTTCTGCGGGTCATGTGGGTGGTACAGACTTGTGTTTTTGCGCAGCCTGGATTAATTGCTTTGGGGGGGGTGCTCTGGGGGTGAGATTTCTCTGCGGCCCACCAAAATTTTCTCAGGGCCCACCAGTTGGTGACCACTGGACTAAAGGACTGAATATAAAAATGAATGGCAAATCAGAATGAAATACATCCAAGTGATTTGTTCATATAGAGAATGGATGATCGAACAGAAACACACACACATACACAAACAATGGATAAATCTAGAGAAAAGGAAAAGAAAACTATGGTTACATGAAAAAGATGTTAAATTAATTAGAATATAAGCATAACTTTTTGCATAAAGTTATTTTGGAAGGAAATACTGAGATGAGTATGTATGCATGTGTAGTTATAAATAGTATGTCAGCAAAACTATTAAGTGGGACTAGATGCTACAACAGTAAACTTACTTTATACTATTTTTAATGGTTCCAATTTTATCTCTTATATAAAATTCAAGATACTGTATTAACCAATTATGCCACATGCAGTTTTAGGAATACAGTGTTTCAAAGAATACATCTTTTTGTAGGGTTCTAGGGTTGTATGTAGCAACCCTGCTTACTATGGGCCTTCTCAATGTTGGTCTCCTTTTTGAATGCCTTAAGGAAGGCTTGCTTATTTATTGTCTTTTTGGTACCAAAGATATCCATTTTGGTATACTAAATCTTTTATTATACTATTATGTTACTATTTTATGTTAGTTTTTCCTGCAATCTATATCTGTTTATCTCATGTTGATTTTAGTTGTGCACTTTAATCATTTACTCAATGATTAAATTGTAATTGTAATTTTAGTGCTTAATCCAGTGGAACCATATGGGCTTTTGGATCTATTTGCAAAAACTGAAAGACAAATTATTGCACTAAGTAAATAAATTTACATAGACACAGTTATTTCAATACTATTTGATCCTGCTGGATTAAATAGATAATTAACACCTGAGACAAATGCCATTTACTGATTTGTTTTAGTACTTTTAAATCATTTTTAAAAGTTGCAATAAAGTTGGAATTCAATCTAGAATACCAGACTATAATCATTTTTATATACAGGTAGTCCTGGAGTTATGAATGTAATGGAGCCTACCCATTCCATTCATAACCCGAGGATTCGTGGGGGTGAATCTTGTATCTTGAACAAGATCACTCCCTGCTTTCTCTCATGCATTTGCTAATTGAATGCACGGCTCGTTAAGTGCACATATCTCAGGGTGGGGAAGGAAATTCCTTTTTCAGCACCAGAAGTCTCATCAAGCAGATGGCCAGCAAGAAAGGAGGTCTGGAAGGCCGCACACAGCCCTCTGGGCCTCCTTTCTTGTTGGCAAAGCACTGGAAGATTGCATCCCTTTATATTTCAGCATCCCTTTTCAAAAAGCCTTTCTTTTGCCTGCTCCTCCCAAGCTCCATGGTGCCAAGCTCCCAAGCTCTGCTGGTGCCAACCAAAGCTTTTTGCAAATTACTGCCAAAGTCTACAGGAACACAATCTTCCTGCAGGCTTCGGTAAGGAAACAGCAAACAGAGGGAAGGCCTGAAGGCCTGAAGCCTTCTCTCCATTTGCAAACATCCAGACTTCAATTTACAGACAATAGAGACCTACAGTGTGAGATCATATAAGATCAATAGCACAAGATCTTGCTCTACTGATCTTGCATGATCTTGCAGTACATTAGGTCTGTGTTCTCTACGAATGCACCAAAAGCTTGAAGTCGGCAAATAAACTGTGATACAAAGGAGATCTTCACAAAGTAAGTGAGTCTCCACAGGTGAAGTGGAGGGGGGGAATAGGCAGGGTGAATGTTGCAGAGTCTCTATGGTCATTTGTAAGAGTGAACAACTGCCATGGTGCTGCAATATTTATAATTTCAGGACTCCTTTATAAATGCTAGGGGTCACTTATTACGTAACTTCGAATGTTTGCTAAGGGAACGCTTCTAACCCAGGGATTACCTGTGTGCATACATATATTTATATGATCCAGCATCTTCAAATTTGCTATAGTGATTAAATTATAAATCAAAATATTTAAAATCTAGGGCAACTTCATATACAGCAAAATTTAGGAGCAAATGTGGATTTTCCTCTTCTGTGAATGATGCATTCAGCAATATGAAACATTAAATTAAAACAGGGATGATAGAAAGAAGTGGACATACACAAGCCAACTTCAGATTCCTTAACAAACTGCCTATACCTCTGCCTATACCTATTATGAATAGTATGAATAGTATTATGAATATATTATGAATATATTATGAATATAATATATATTATGAATATAATAATGCGAAGTTTATCCTTACCTAGGCACTTTAATGTCTTGCACGTTCAGAATTACAAGAAGGAAGATGAACAAATAAACACTATTTAATCCTCTGAGTGCAAGAACAAACATTTTCAGCAGGTACCCTGCTAAACCCTATTAGAAGAAGTCCTCAACTTATGATTGTAATTAAGCCCAGTATTATAGTTGTAAGTCATAGCAGTTAAATGGCTAACTTAACTTTGAGCTGTGTTTCGAAACAGATTGTTTATGCAGGTATTTTGTTAATTATATTATTTATACAGGTAGTTCTCAACTTACCACCACAATTCTCAGTCAATGAGAGAAGTGGTTATTAAGTGAAATGTCATGTGATGGCTTTGCTTAAAAACTGAAATCCTGGCACTCCTGTTGTGGTCATTAAGAGCTCTCAGGGGTTGAAGTCCTAGGTGCCTCGGGTGGATGGGGGAGGCTCTGAAAATACAGGCTGCATGCAAATGTCTTTCTGTTCAGTAGTTGAAAATCTTCCCTGCCAAAATCCAAACAGGATTTTCAGCCCAAGAGGAAAGACACACACAGATTGCACCTTACTTGCCAAGGTCTTCCCTTCACCAAGGCAGCCCATTATTCTTACCTTAACACACTGCTTCTCCACTGAAAATCCAAGCAAGATTTTTAGGCCGAATTAGCGCATGGCCTGCACCAGGCTTCCCCCATTTTCCAGAGGCATGTGATACTTCTTTGCTCAGGGACCAAAAATCCTGCATGGATTTTAGCTCTGTCTTACTTCTGGGGACTAGCTGAAAGAGCTCTCCCTACCAAAGAATTTCAGTTCTCTGCCTGTTTGAATTGTTGAACTTGAAGCAGGAACATAACAGAAATCTTTCAACAGACAGCTCTTTCTAAAAACCCCAAAAAGGACAGTGAGTCCTCTTGGCAGGCAGCAGCAGCTTGCAATCTTTCAATTTGACTTTCAGGGAATCTGCAGAGAATATTGTCAAGTGGTGATTACATGATTGTCATGGCCCTATTAGAGTCTGAATTGAGGAGGAAGATGAACAGCTGACAGGGAGTGGGAGTGTGGTTCTGTTGGCTGTGGAAGGGCAAAGTCTGGCTAGGCAGAGCATGGAAGAGGTAGAACAAGGCAGAGGGAGTTCAGAGGAAGTCCCACCCCACCCCCTCTTCATCCTAGGGCACAAAGGGAGGAACGGAGAAGAGAGCAACATGGGTTGCTTGGCTTACGAGGAAGGAAAGGGCCTGATTCCCTTCATTAGCCACAGCTAGGAAGAGAGTTTAAAAGAGATGCATGCTGAGTGTGGCAGCTACTGGGAGCAAACGTGAGTTCATCCTGTGTTGACTTTGGTTATCTGTGTTCCTGGCATCTTCCCAACCATGTTGAATTATTGCCTGCACGTCTGGAATTCTTGATCCTGCCCTGCCAAACTAGTCTGGACTTATAATTACAGTTTTTGTTGTCCATATTTTGGACTTGATTCTCTGCAGCCAAAGGCTGCTCCTGGGACAGTTTTTCTCCAGCAGAAGGTAACCAGGACATTTGGGGCAAAGTTGGAGCTAATAAAGGGACTCCTACTGATTATCTGACTGTGTTACCTTTGTGCCATGCCTTGGGTCATCACAATGATTGATGGAAAACAGTTGTAAGTGTGAACAGGATGCCAAGCATCCAGATCACAATCATGTTCCTACAATTTCGTGGTGACATGTTTTAATAGTCAGAAACACTTTAAAGGTCTTTTGAATGCTGATGTTAATTCAAAGCATTATTAAGCAAATAGTCATAAATCAAGGACTAACTGTATAGAAATTTTTAAAAAAACCAAGGCACATATGGCATATTTCCAACAGGGACTCTCAATACTCAGTTAAATTCAGCAAGGCACTTCGTTTTCTTGATCTATACTTACGCTACTGTGATGCATGCTTCTCTAACCACCTGTGATCTGAGATCTTTAGCAGATAATTTAAATGCTCCATCCAACAGTCGTAAATGCTGGAAAAAGCCATCATATTGCGCAGCTCCAGCAACAAGTAATGACCTGACCTTCTTAAGCTGGGGTAGTGAAAGAGCAAATAAGAATATTAACTTTTCTAAATGCAAATATGCTGTAATGAATTATATAATCACATTTAAAAATATGTAAAATTTAAAAAATAGATGTACCGCATTAGTGCGCTGATCCCAATCATGTTTATCATCTGACAAGATTTCCCTGATTTTATTTAGTGTTTCTTCAAGTTCACGACTAGAATATATCTGAAAAAGAAACTTCCAGTCAAATCCATTATCTCGTCCAGTAAATAATTGGAAAAAAAATTAAGTAGCTAGGTAAGACTGTCTTCTATAGCTAGTGCAGCAGTTGTGACCTCTATTTTGCAGGATGGCTTGTTAATTGGAGGTGCCCAATGTGACACTCTTACATTTCCATGAAATCTCTTAGCATGAAGAGATGTCATGATTAGCAAAGATTAATTATTTGCTAATAGCTTTGATAATTCCTTCTCAACTATGAATCAATTAATGTGAAATTCAATGTCATAAATGAGGGAAAGCAATGGGAAATGAATCTGTTTTTTTGGTACAGCACAGGGATTTTAAGAAAAATAAATGGATATTGATTAAGAAAATATAACAAAGTGGTTCATATATTTTTAGAATGTAGAACTAAATCATAAGAAAACAGTGTACATGTTAAGCAAGATTATATCATTTTTCAACAATAAACGTACAATGAAATGAGCACTGATGGAAAGATAATAATTCTGTTTCAGTAAATACCCAAGAAGACTGGAAGTAGTGCATAAAAATATAAAATGCACAAAATATTCTGGGATACTGAATTACTTAACACAAAACAATTGTGAAAAGTCAATAATCACAGTTGTGATAAAAATGTTGACTTCATAACTTTATATATTATATAAAAGCCAACTTGCTTATATTGCAATAGCCCAGAGAGGACAACCTAATATAAGAGCATATATTAACATAGCAAAATAAACTCTTAAGTAGTTTTTAAATTATTATATACTATAGAAAGTATAGAAATGTGATTTCTGGAAAGTTATTTAAACATCATATCATTTTCATGTTTACCATATAATAAAACTCTATAGGTAAAAATAAATTACTTTGCAATTATGTTAGAGAAATTATATTACTGCCTGAATTTCTTTAAATTATATAATCCTTAAATTTTGATGTAAGGAAAAAGATCTGGAAGATCAAACCTAGAAAAAAAGATCTGTGGACTAGTGCATTCAAGGGGAAATTGAGACTAACATGAACAGTGCCGTTACTGTTGATGAACTGGATAAACCCCTACCCTCCCATCCTAAAAAAAGGGGGCTTCTGAACGTGCAGTCTCTGAGACACAGTGGTCAGTTATGAAGGACAAAAGACTTCTCTCAACCTTGTAAATTACTTGTTACTGAGGCACAATGGGGATATACTTTTAGTCTTAGCAATTAAACTAGATTTTTAGAACTGAAAACAAGTAAAGCCTTTGCTCTGTTGTGCCTCCTCACCTACTAGATCAGTAGTTCCCAAAGTGAGCGACACCGCCCCTAGGGGGTGGTGGGATGCCTTGGGGGAGAGCTAAGAGGCAGGGGGGCTGGCAGGGGGGCGCTAAGAGTGGGCAGGGGCGCTAGAGTGGGCCCCTTACAGGGCGCAATCCAAGGGTGGGATTCTACTGGTTCATTACCATTCCTGATAGTTTGGAGAACTGGTAAAATGGGCCCCTGGCTGGCCCTGCTCCTCTCCGCCTGCTCCTCCGTTCCCTGCCCAGTCAGTCCTTATTGCATATGTGCGACATTGTGCGCATGCACAACAATTGCTGACAGCCATAGCAGTGCGTTGGAGAAGTGGAACAAGTAAATCCGGAGGTCGGTAATTTTTGCTGCAAAAAGTATCCAGACACCATGTGCTTTTTTCGGCGCAGCGGGAGTCCAGCTACACCAAAAAAACATGCAGCATCTAGAGGTTTTTTGCAGCAAAAATTACTGACCTCCAGCTTTGCTCTGCTTCTCCAAAGCACCACCGCTGCCTCGTTCTAGTCACCAGTCATGCAGGTTCACACCATTGACTGCTGCACCACTCCGCTCAGACTTGCTTGGGCAAGTCCCGCCGGTGCAGCGGGCTCAATGGGGTGAATCTGCAGGGTCGCACCTAGAATGCGGCCACAGCGGCACGTTGGAAAAGCAGAGCAAAGCCAGAAGTCGGCAATTTTCACTGCAAAAAATCTCCGGCCGCTGCATGTTTTTTTTCGGTGCAGCTGGACTCCAGAGAGAGAGAAAAAAGAAAGAGAGAGAGAGAAGGAAAGACAGAGGAAGAGAGAGAGGAGGAAAGAGAGAAGGAACAGACAAGAAAGTAAAGAAAGAAAAGAGAGAGAAAAAGGAAGAGAAAGGAAAAAAGGGAGAGACAAAGAAAGAGTGGATAGAAGGAAGGGACAGAAAGAAAGAGAGGGAAAGAAAGAGAGAGAGAGGGAATGAAAGAGAAAGAAAGAGGGCGGAGAAAGTGAATGGGATATGTAGGGAGGGAGAGGGAAAAAGAGAAAGAGAAGGAAGAGACAAGAAATTAAAGAGAAGGGGGAAAGAAAAAGGGAGAGAGAAAGGAAGAAAAAGGAAAGACAAAGAAAGAGGGGAGAGGTGGAAGGAAGGGACAGAAAGAAAAAGAAAGGAAGGAATGAAGGAAGGAAGGGAGGGAGGGAGGGAGGGAAAAGTGAATGAGATATCTAGTCCAACCACCTGCTCAAACAGGGTTAGGAGTGTGTGTGTGTGTGTGTGTGTGTGTGTGAGCGCGTGCGCATGGCTGTCAAAACTCCAAAAACAGCTCAAGTAGCTCTGGGGAGGTCAGTCATAAATTAGAACACCTACTAAGCAACCAGCCATTAAGCGTGGACCATTTATATTTGATTTGCCAGTCACATGACCACCAAGCCATGCCCACCCAGTCACATGACACCAAGCCACGCCCATAAATTAGGCCATGCCCACAGAACCAGTTGTTAAGAAATTTGAATCCCACCCCGGGGGGGGGGGGGGCACTGAGGGTGAGTTTGTACCACCAAGGGGGTGGTGGACTGAAAAAGTTTGGGAACCACTGTAACTAGATCAATGGAAATTCTTGGAGCTTCCCTAACCTGACTGCACTGAATAGCCAGAATTAGTCCAAAGTCTTTAGTCCTATTTAAATGTCTCTGGCCCGAAAATGGCATTTCTTCTTGTGCTAATATTTAACTGCTAGTTTTAAACTTCAAAATGTGATAAATAATAGCTTTAAGTTCTGATTTTAGATAAGTGTTATCCTGTTTCTCATGAATCAGGGAGACATCATTTCTGTTTGGCTTTTGAATCAAAGCATCTTTTTTTGGACACTGTCCCTTTCCCATGAAGTCAGACAAGTAAGTATTTCTAGTTCCACTTTTAAATTTTAAAAGTTAAAAAAAAAAGACACACCCCTGACTCCAGTTTTAAAATTTAAGTTCAAAAGAATGGTAGAAAATGTTTGGGGCTTGGTTCTGTTCTGCAGAAGTGTTCCAAGCTTTTCAACAACAAAGCAAATAAAACAATCTTCATTTTTTTTCTCAGGCTAAGAATTTGTGACAGGAGCAAGGATAGTCCATCAGCTTTGTAGCTCATCATTTTTAGAGGGTGAAAATTTCAAATACCTATGTAAAAGTGCAAACATAATATGTATCATTTACCTTTATACAGGTAGTCCTTGATTTATGACAATTGTGTCCAAAATTTCTGTTGCTAAGCAAGGCATTTGTTAAATGAGTTTTGCCCCATTTTACAACCTTTCTTGCAACAGTTGTTCAGTGAATTACTGCAGTTCTTAGCAACACAGCTGTTATGCAAATCTGGCTTCCCTATTGACTTTGCTTGTCAGATGATTACAAAAGGTGATCATATAACCCCAGGATACTGCAACAAAATATGTATCCGTTGAAAAGTATCAGAATTTTGATTACGTGACCATGGTGATGCTGCAATGGTTGTAAATATTGAAAATGGTTGTAAATCACTTTTTTCAGTAATGTTTTAAATTCAAATGGTCACTAAATGAACTGCTGTAAGTCGAGGACCACTAAAGCAGGTTTTTTGTTTTTAGGTATATTACGGTAACAAAAATAACTGTTTACAGTAACCCTATAATGTATATTCTGGGGTTGTTTTATTTCCAGATCTCAAACTTTGTGGTCCAATGTTTCTGTTGGCAATGAACAGCAAATCTGAAAATAACTAATCAAGGATGCAGGCTTAGAAAGATTAAAACAGTAAAACCTACAATAAATGAGTGTATGTACTCTCCCGGGACTTGCACTAAGATAAATGATGGTATTGAATGACTTTGTAGTATAACTTACTTTTTCGAGCTCTGGATACTTCGTGTGATAAATACACTTTGATGATATTGATACTGTATTTATGGTGTACAATATTTGCTTATGGTATGGAATATTTGTTCTGGTACTAAGCCCATACTATCCAAAGCAGTCACTAGATTTGGAATGCTTAATGGCTTAATATGTATCTTACTGAATGCACTGTGGTTAAGAAAACTGCCTGTCAGCCTTCAAGAAGCCTTATTCTGCTTATCTTTCCAGCTGCCATAGAAACAGGGTGGGGGGAGGGAAGAATAATTGGACCACTGCAGGGGTGAGGAGGGAGAGGCTTGAGATGCTGGAGGCTTGAGATGGTGAAATATAAAACTTCGGATGTTTTCTTGACTATGCTTACTTATTTACTGTGCAGCTGTAGCCTCTTATCTATTCAGGCCAAGGTCAACCGTCCTGGTGTGCCAGAGCTCTCAAACACCACCTGAAGATGCCCCACATGACATTATACATCTCAGATTGGATGGCCAGTTTGAACTATTGGGGGTGAGAACTCTGGCATAACTTTGTATATGTGATTTTCATGCCTATTGCCTCAGATCTTCTAGTCTTCTGATGCTACCATATTAATTTTCAATAAAAGTCCTTTTCTCTAAAACAATGGAGACTAAGGTTTTGTTTCTTGGATTTTGAATGGAGCCTCACCTGACACTGTGGTTTAGCCATGGCCAATCTATACATTCTTCAAATGGTTACAAACAGAATCACCAAGTTTTGGGTGATGCCACAATTATGGAATCATACAGGAGCCATGGTGGTGTAGTGGTTAGATTAGAATATAGTATTCTAGGCTAATTCTGCCCAGAGCCTGGAGTTTGATCCTGACTGGTTCAAAGTTAACTCAGCCTTCCATCCTTCAGAGGTCGGTAAAACACAGCATTTTACCTGTACAGTAGGAACATCTGTAAATGCCTTTATGAAATCATCTTCATCAACAGCACCAGCTCCTCCTTCCTTGGTAGTGCCTGTAAGCAATAAAAGTTATCATAGCCAAGATTTTAAATGAGGTTGAACTAAAAAAGAGGAATCACACCAATCAAGTTATCTTGGCTATTGGGTGTTTTTTTAGCATTTACAAGAATACAAGAGTTACAAGAGTTTTTAATGAAAATCTTCATACAAGGTAGTATGTTTGTGCACCAAGAAAAACTGAATGTTGGGTCCATACATCATTTTAGTAATTTGCATCATTTCTGCTACCCATGCCACTAATGTCACCTATAAAATGTTCATGCTTAAATGTGAATTGAAGCAACACAGAGGAAAGCATCCATAGCTATAAGGAATTTTTTAAAAGTCTAGTATCAGAGTCATCACAAAATGAACACAACGTTTTTTTAATAAAATGCAAAATATCTAGAAATATTGTAAGAAGGTTAAAGAAATTTCAATCATTCACAAGAGGTCAACAAGTTGAATACAATAGTGCAATTAGGGTGAAACTGAAAAACAAATATTTTTTCATAGGTGAAAATAATACAGATAGTCCTGTTGCTATGTAAGACAGTTGTTAAATGAATTTTGCACCATTTTACAACCTTTCTTGCCACAGTTGTTAACTGAATTGCTGTAGTTGTTAAATTAACAATATGGTTATTAAGTGAGGCTGGCTTTCCCATTGAGTTTTTGTCAGAAATTGCAAAAGTTAATCACTGACCTTGGCACACTGCAACTGTTATAAATAGATGCCAGTTGTCAGGCATCTGAATTTTGATCATGTGATCACAGGGATATAGCAATGGTCAAAAGTGTGAAGAATGGTCATAGGTCACTTTTTTTCAGTGTCATTATAACTCTAAATGGTCACTAAATGAATGGTTGTAAGTTGAGGACTATCTATAAGCAAACTGAACAGCAATAAGTACAAAAAGCTTGGTTGAATGATTCATAGTTGTTCCAAAGCCGCTTTTCCAAGAGGCAACTGGATGTTCTTGTTTTTCTTTGAAGATATTTTTGCTTCTCATCCAAGAAGCTTCTTCAGCTGTGACTGGATGGTGGGGAATAGAAGGATTTTTATTCTGAGGGCTGGGTTTGAACAGCAGCGGAAAGACGGCTTTCTCGGAACTCTGGTGAAAGCCGCCAATACCCCTGCAGCTGGACTGTCACAGTGGACCCAAACGGTCCCAAGAGACGGTAAGTGGAAGGAGCACATCCTGTTGATCCCAGGGACATCACAAAGTCCCTAGTTGATCCAGGAAACCCCCTGGTGGGAAGCGGCCATTAATCCTGAGCTGCTAAGAAGCTGTGCCAGCCCCTGAATGGAAGAAGACCAGAAGAAGAAGGTTTGTCGGTTTGAGTGAGAAATTCCTTTTTTCTAAAAAAAAAGATAGAAGAGTACCCTAAAGTGAAAGAATTACTAAAGAAAGAAAGAAGACAGAAAGGTTAAGGGTAGCAGCAAGATGTACGGGGAGCTGTCAAACTTTTCTGGAGTTTTTATTTTCTTGGGGGGAAAAAAAGAATACTTTGTGTGCTTCTTTGCCTTGACTAACTGGCCTGGCCTGGACTTTAAAATAATAATTTAAGAAAAAAATTGAACTTTGTTTTTAAGTTTAAAACCTCCGGAGTACTTTGTTTCTTTTGACTCCTATTTGCTTTCACTTTTTTTGACTTTCAACGTGTTTTAATTTTGGAAAATTCTCTAGAAGATGCATTCTTAAAAGCAAGCCCCCTCTTTCTTTCTTTCCTGGGGTGGTTCAGTTTGAGGGTCCTCTGAGGGACTATCTAAGCCGATGATGGGTGCAGCTTCTCCGGCCAGGCAGATGGAAAGACAGCGAGCTTACTTTCACTTTTTAAGCTACAGAGATACAGTGTAACCAGGATATAAGTGTAAGGAAAGCTAAGCAATACTGCTATCTAGAGATCACAGAAAGTATATTTAAGAACAACAGACTTTAAAGATTAAGCTATTTTGAGTTCAGGTTGTTTAGAAGTGGAGAAAGATGAGTGAGCACTGAAAACAGGTGCTGCTCCCATACAGCTTGTACACAACTGGAAAGTTGAATAAGGTAAAGGAAAAGAAAAAACACTGTGACCTTGGATAATATATATGCTTTGGATTCTAGCTTTCTGGGCTTTCTGGATGTTACACTGAGACTTTGGTTTATTTTGTGACGTTGATTTATAAATTACAGCTGGTATTATTCCACCTTTTTTCCCCTGCTGGTGAGTATGCTGGGCCTCTTTTTCTGTATTCCAGTCTCTCAATTTGGATTAATTTTGGAATTTTGATTTTTCTTTTTCTCTTCTTTTTTCCTTTTCCATTTTTTTTCTTTTTCCCCATTAATAGCTTGACTAACAAGTGGATATGGCATCTGTGGGGTTTCTTTTTGTTTTTTCCTCTTTTTTGTTGTTTCCTCTTCCTTTCCTCTTCTATTTTGAAGTGGATGGATTTGTATTTTCTTTTCTTTTTCTCTTTTTTGGAATTTTTTCTTTTTACATCAGATTTTTTGAATTTTATACACTTTTACTTTATCTTCTTTCTAGATTTATAGTTTCCCTTCCTGTTTTTGGATTCTTTATCTCCATTTTTTTTTTTTTTTGATAAAGTTGGATTAAGATAGAGAAGAACCTGAAGATTTATTTTTATTTTTCTTGGGCCTTTACAAATGGATTACAATTTGATTTGATATGAGAAAGATAACTGCTACTGGATCATCAATTCCTACATCCTCATCCTTGAACCCAGCTGGTCAATGATCTATTGTAACTATGCTTCGGCAAGAGAAAGAAAAAGAGAAAGAAGTTTCAATGTAGGAAATAAAGTCAATGATTCAAGTAACACAAGATCAAGAGAAGCATACAGAGGACAGAATTGAAAAGTTGGAGGAAAGGATGGAAAAGATGGAAGGAAATATAGAACAGGTGTTAATGATATATGGAGAAAAAATACAGAAGATGGAAGAAAGAGGTGATAAAACAGATAAGAAAGTAGGAGAAATAGATAATAGATTGACAATAGTTGAAAGTGAAAAAGGGAAAGATTCAATATTTTGGGAGATGGATAAGGCTGATTTTTATCTAAGATTTCAAAATATTGAGGAGGAAAAGGGAGAAAACTTCACAGAAATTATGACAGAAATTTTGGCAGGACCTTTGGAGATAACTAAAGAAAAAATGATGGATGGAAGGGATGAAATATATTGAGTATATACGAGATATGTGATAAAAAATAAATTACCCAGAGAAGTACATGTGAGATTCACTAAGAAAACAATGAGAACAGAGATACTACAGAAAGCAAGAGATGACACATTGAAGTACAAGGGAAAGGAAATCATAGCACTGAAACAAATTCCAAGGAAAGTAAGAGATATAAAAGATTACCAATTTCTGACAAAGACTTTAATTAAGGAAGAAGTGAATTACAGATGGTTGATCCATGAAGGATTGACATTTATTTGGCAAGAATAAAGACATAGAATAGATTCAATAGAGAGAGCAGAACTATTTTATAATGAATATTTTAGAGGAAGGAAGATGAGAAAGCAAGAGAAGAGGAACTTAAAATATGAGCAGAGATAACAAGAGAAATGGAGAAGGAATGGGAAGAGGAAAGAGAAGAGGAAGAGGAAACAGTAGATGGTAAAGTGGCAACTAGACAACCAAAAGAACAAAGATCAACGAGAACAATAAATCCTACATATAAAGTATAAATAATGGAAGAGGAAAAGAAACTAATTTCTATAAATATAAATGGGCTAAATTCAGCCACTAAAAGGAAAAAATATTCCACAAACTAGAAAATATAATTTCTATAGAAGTACATATCAAAAAGCAGTATGCATATTTGTTGAATTGTTCTAGAATTGGCAACTTATACACATCATTGGCACAACAAAACAAGAGTTGTTTTATACATTAAAAATACAATTAAAGCCAAGTTAATCTACACAGATGAAGAAGGAAGAATACTAATGATTGAAATAATAGATAACAACTCCAAGATACTCTTAATCGCAATATATGCACCAAATAATAAGCAAGATGAATTTTATAAGAAATTACATAAAAAATAATTGAATCGGAATATGATATGTATTCTTGGAGATTTTAATGCAATTGTAGATGTTGAACTGGACTATATAACATAGAAAAAAAATAAAAAAAAATAATCAAAATTGTTCCTTAAGATGGTAGAGGAATTGAGTATTAAAGATATATGGAGATAATTGAATGGCAAAAGTAGACATTACATTTTACTCAAATAGGCACTTATCATGGTCAAGAATAGATATGATTTGGATGTCAACAGACTTAATTCCTAACATGCAGGAAGCAAATATTAACATAAGCACTTGGGCTGACCATAATCCAGTAAGAGTCAAATGGAAGGACCAGAGGAAAAGATCAAGATGAACTTTGAATAATTCGATTTTGAAAGAAAAAGAATTTATTGATAAAATAGAAAAAAATGGCCTTTTTCCTTAAGGAAAATAAATCAGAGACAACCTCACTACAAAATGTGTGGGACACGACTTCCGGTTTGAACTTCTTCGGTGACAGACCAAAACCTCGTTTCTGTGAGGCTTCGATCTGTGCTTGTCGCTGGAGCGCCCCGAGCCAGCTGGTTTCGGGGCTAAGCCACCCCATAGAGGTGGTGAAGAGGGGGGAGACTGCCTGCAGGGTTGAGGAGAGCCACATCTCTCCTCCCCAGCTGGCCATTACTCCCTTTCCCGAAGGCAGTTGTAGCGGTGGTCAGAAATGGCCACCACAAAGAAGAACTTGACCGGAAAAGAATGTGCAGGAGGAAGATAAGAAGAGAAAGTTTTGGTTGACCGGGTCAAACAGCAAAAGCAACAAATGAGGTACCCTGGAATTGAAACTATTAAAAAAAACCAATAACATTGTTCCCTAAGGAGTTTTTTAAGCTGCGAAGGAGAGAGAAAAGGGAAAAGATTTGGTTTTTTTTTTCTCCTTTTCCTATACTGACAGCTAAGAGACTTAAGCAGGAAATTGCAAAAAAAAT